AGGAGTTAAACCATCATAATATTTTACAACTTTCTCTTGTTTTCATAGAAGCATGAGCAGAGTTCATTTTTTAAGCACATGTGGGAGGTATATTAGGCTGCTATGTTATTATCGATTTAATAAGTTAGGGAGTGAGTGAGAAACAATCTCATTTAGGACACCGTATTAATCACCTACTTCATACATAAACTGCTGCAATACATTAAATAAGGAAGCATTTTAATCTTAAAGCAGCAGTTAAAGTAAGATGTGGTTTGGTCTAAAAGAGGACCCTTCCTCAACAGGGGGAAGTAAGTGTAGGGAGTCCAGAACCCTATGATTGGTCTCTCAAAGATTTCTTCCTTTTCTGTCTTGTCATACTTAAACTTTTAAGATAAACTTATTCTAAAACATGAAAATTAAGATGACTGAATAAAAGAAATTTATATCTAAAATAACATTTATCACAGCAAAAAGCAACACAACACGCACATAAAATAATTTTGCCCTACATACGTTAATTTATTATTTTATTTCGTGAATTACTTGTAAAGCTTAGTTGAATTTAGCTTCCCAGGCCTGACTACTGTCTGGCCAGCAAAATCATAAAAAAACACGTAAAATTAATCAAAGAAAACCAAGTAAGCTAAATTGTTTTAAATGCTAAACCTTGGCTCAACCCAAAGAAAATGAACATACAAATAAAAAAAATCATCAATTCACCCATGAAGTCAAGGAATTGCTCACAACAGCTTAAGCACTGCAGGCCTTGTTTGCTTTAGTCAAGGTTGATGTTTATTATTCAACAGTAAAAATAGGCATATTTTGGCCTTCAAACCACTACTAAAAAAATCATAAAAGCCCATCTACAATAATGACCATCCCTGAAAATGTCTGAAAATATTCTGTGCGTTGATGACAGGAAGATGGGACCATTTTAAAAGCGTATAAAATAAGAGCCTTTCAGAAAGGTCAGTTCAAACCTGCTGTTAAGTAGGATAGTAGTGCTGTGATGGTCTGTGACTGCTGCTGGTTCCAGATCTACACAACCCTGCATCATAAGTCATTGAGAAACATTAACTCTGCTGACAGAAAAGGCTAAAGCATTTTTTTTTTAAGCTTAAGCTGTAAAATCTTAAATTTAAGCCTTTTTTGATAAAAGGAGCAGGAGAGTAATCCAAATAACTCCACAAGTGTCTTCTGACTGGGCTTGATACTCTAAAAAATGTTTTAGAGCATCTAAATCACATTCCTGACAAGATATCAAAAAGTCTTTAATGTTGTTTAAATTAATTTGTCTAAAAAAGAAGTAGCCCATTGTTGGAAAATGTGGTTACAGGGATGAAACAAATAATGCAGATGCAAAGTAATGTAAGAATCTACATGAGGCACTCTTCCAATGATGTCTTTATCAGAGTGTTATGTTGTTGGGAGAAAATGAAATAAAAAAAGATAAAAAGACAAAACAGGGATGACCTTCTCTTCTTCATAAAGGAACGGAAGCTTCTCATCTTTGTTGTGATGAATCACAGTGTGAATTTTTTCTGAGTCATTAGTTTTTACTCCAGCATAACTCGAGTTTCATCTGTTGCTGCCGTTTTATTTTGATCGCTTTCACCATATGAGGGTTGACAACATGATTACTAATACAAAGAAATGTTTTTCTTTTATTCTACTTTCCACAAAGCCTCAATAAAGAGACAAAGCGAACGGGACAAACAAACATTAGTCAGATGACAACCTTGCTGTGTTACAATTGATTAAAGACTTTTTAACATTCGTGGTGGAATAACCGAAAAATTAGAAAATACAAGGATGATAGGAGACAACATATTTATTACGAGGGAATTATGACTTTTTAAAAATGTTTCATTTAATCTATTGTCTTTGTATTCTTTTCGTTTTTGTTTCCCAAAGTACAAGGTTGGCTCTCAACTAGAATCAATGGGGTAAAAAGCTTATTGTTGTTTTAGTGTCAGATCTAAACTTTAACAGCCTGATAAAGTCTGTTGCATAATCAGCATACTATTATCTAGAAAATATTGGCTGAATGAAATGATGCTTTTTGTGTGTTCTAATAAAACAGGACACAAAAAAAAAAAACTGGTGAATGATTTTATTTCCAATAGATTAAATTATTCTAACGGTGTCTTTACTGGTGTCTCTATAAAACCAACCATGCAGCTACAGCTTATCTAGAATGCTGCTTCCAGACTTCTGGCATCACAAGGACTCAAATAAGGCTCAAATCAAACCTTAGGGAACATATTATTAAATGATGTAGTTGAACTTAAAGTCACTCAGTGGTATTAATGCCAAATGTGAATCTTGTTGAAGTCTGGGGTTCTGTTATACTTTTTTACTCAGTTCATACAGAACTAAAAAAGTTTGAGGCCTCATTCAGTTACGGCATCCCTGGTCTCATAAATGGACTCCCTGAAAACACAAAATTTTAACAACTGGTTTATTTTTAAGGGGCTGCTCAGTGGCACAGTGGGTAGCACTGCTGCCTTGCAGCAAGAAGGTTCTGGGTTTGATTCCCTGCCCAGGGTCTTTTGGCATGGAGTTTGCATGTTCTCCCTGAGCATGCATGGGTTCTCTCCGGGTACTCCGGCTTCCTCCTACAGTCCAAAAACATGACTGTTAGGTTAATTGACTTGTCTAAATTCTCCGTAGGTGTGAGTGTGTGTGTGTGAATGGTTGTTTGTCTCTGTGTTGCCCTGTGATGGACTGGCAACCTGTCCAGGGTGTACCCTGCCTATCACCCTTTGACTGCTGGAGATAGGCACCAGCACCCCTTGCGACCCCTCTTGGGATAAGCGTGTCAAATGATGGATGGATGGTTTATTTAAAAAAAAATGTTTTGTTCCTTTTTTCATCTTTCCAATAAAAAGTTAAAAACAAACTACTGTCCTTTCTTTTCAAAGTTTAAAGAAGTTTCGGTTCCCATCCAGAAAGCTTTCTCAATTTAAAATGTCTGCAGTAGCGTTGAGTTCCATGCTTTTTAGAGTTGCCCAACAACCCTTGTTATGGCTTAGAAAACATGCAAACTGAAACGAAAACAGGTCCAATCCTTAGTAAAACGGAAGTTGTTGAAGTTGTTGGCCTAAATTAAGAGGTGAGATGTTTTTGTCCCCTGCATGGCGATGAGGATTGAGATGATAGCGGGAAAGAATCAACTCTATTGCTGCGTTGTAAGTTTTTTTGAGAGCTGAAACCTGAGTCCACCCCCTCTCTTTAAGTTTTTTTTTTTTTTTTCTTTGAACATAAATGGCTTCCTTAACAGCCCTTTCAAACCGCCTGTCTTCTTTGTCCAAATTGTGAAGATTCTGGTCCTCAAAAAGAATGTCCTTTGTCCTTAAGGTGCAGATGGACAACAGTCTTGTCCGGAGGAGGTAGCTTGCCAGTGTTGAGCTATGCATCTGTGAAGAGGTTGTTTGGTTTGGTCTCCAATATAGAGATCGGAGCATCCCTCACTGTGCTGAACTCCATACACCACTCCACTCATATTTTCATATATATTACGGTTGTCTTCAAACTTGGAAAACAAAGTCCAGTGATTTGTGCCCAGAACTTTTTTTGGAATGGTTATGACCCGGATGACTGAGAATCCTCACCAGCTTTTTGTCTTTCCTTTGGTGCGCATGTCTTATATGGTTGATGTTTTTGACATGTAATATAAATAATAACTATCGAATGGTAACCTCCCAGACCTAATAGGTACAGCCACTTTATATCAGCGTCATGTCACATTTTGATTTATTATAAATTGTTGTGCTCAGAAAAGAACGACCTTCCCAGATTAAAAACAAGGCTGCGGATCTGCATTTTCTGAAGCACGAACCATGAAGCAGACATTATCCTCTTCCTGTTGTGTGTGTCGTCATTTAGGTAGATTAGAAGCTTTTAATATCTTTCTCTGTTTTGTTTTTTTCTTACACCCTATCCTTCAAAGTTGACATCAGAATTCTTCACTGGAGGCAATTAAACCCTTTCATTAAACTTATGAGAGCATTAGCGCTATATAAAAATGTAATTTTAAAGTGGCTTTAATTGTTGAATGTTTAATTATAAAATGAGAAATAGTCCTGGTGTCTCTTTAACAAAAGAATATGAAATTTATCATTATCATGTATTGTAGATTTTGCATTTTCACTTTAGGAAATCATTGGGAATTAATCTTCAGTATGATAAAAAGATATTACACATAAATCTTAATTCTGTAACTTATGCAGAATATGCTTAGTTTTACTTGAATTTTCAATCAAATTTGCAATAGAAAATAAAGAATATATCAATGATATGACATTTTGAAACCGTATATTTTGAGGGGTATTTTACCTGTACATTATTAAAGATATACTGTTTTGTTAAATTAAAGTGTCATGCATTTGGAATAATTCGAAAAAAGGTTGAAATCAAAATAATGCCAGTTCACCAGAATTCATTGTGAAATGGTCACATTTAATGGTTGAAACCTGTCATTGTATATACATCTATAAAAAAGACCCCAGGTACAGGTTACGACATTCTAACGCTAATACATACATTATTATTATTAATAATATTAAATAATAAACTTTGTCCATTGTTAAAGTTACATAACATAGTTTACAAAATAGAATCAAGAAAGTAAGCCATTATGAATGTCGGAAAAATAAAAAGAAAAAACAAAAATCTAAAGCCCTAAATGCTTCTTTTTATTATGTGTCCATAAAATCCTAAAAATGACAATAAACACATCAATATTTATTTGAATAACATAATAATACCTGCTGATATTGACTATTATTATAAATGTGAGCTGAAAAATAATGAAATATCTGTAAAGGCGGCAGACTTTGGAAAGCAAACAGATTCATATGACTGTATTTTACAGCATAGAGCAGAAGGAGAAACCAACGAACTGTAGCTCAAGTCAGTTATCCGGAAATCATTGTCGCTGTCAAAACAAAGTCAAACAGAAAGCAAATGTGTGAGAAAACAAGTGTTCTGTCTGTAAACCACTGTATTTTATTTTATTTTTTTTCATTTTTATCTATCTTGTTTTATCTGTTTTAAATTTTTTTTTTTACAATCCAGGTCCTTTTAACCAGCCGCTGTAAGCATAATGTAAAGCTAACTGTCTAAATAAGTCAAGCTACCATTACTGAATTCTTCAAAGTGTTAAAGTCTCCAGATCCCAAAAACGGCTCTCTCCATTGGTTTGATTCAGTCGTCGGAGGCATACAGAGCACAGTCTGAGGCTTACTGTGGCATCTTTGTTGAACGGTGTGCGTGCACTCAAACAGGAGCTGCAGAGATCCTCAGGTTTGATACATATAGCACTTTTCAGCATCACCTCTCCTCTTGCATATAAACACACTTTCTGAGTACAGGCACAGGCTTCAGGAAGCTCAATAAAAGAAAAAAAAATTGAAGCCACTTCGTTAGGGTTACTTATGAGACTTTGGCGTGATGATTGAGCTGCATGTGGGGGCGCTGCAGTAGCCACACACACAAAGGCACAGCTTTTAAATGTGCATTTGTCTGTGAAGCACTCTGCAGTTTGAAAGAAGTCAGTTATGGAAAATTTAAAAATAACAATGAGTTGGTTTTCTTGCTCAGAGAAGGAGCTTCCTGAATCAAACGAACTCAAAAAAATCAAATAAATAAATCAGTCTGCTGCGGCTCATACAAGCATCAGGGGCGTAACGTTAATCACTTTATTATCCATGCTGCTGCTGTTTCCGTCTTGGTTGTTCTGCTGCCTCTGCTGCTGCTCTCGCCGACGACAATGCCGTTTGCAAAAGTTCCTCTGAAGAATTTCTTTGTCCCCATCAGTCAACAATGACTGTCTGATTTCCCCTCTTAAGTAATTTTGGTGAGTAACTGTGTGATGGACAGAAATGATCAATGCACTGTATCCTCAAAAACATGTGCAAAATAGAAAAAACACCAGCCTCCGTCTCTTTATCTTGTTCTTCCTCCCACCTGTTGTCACTCCATGGGATTAAAACATCTGGAGAAGCAGAAAGACGAATGAGACAACTTTAGCTGTATCAAAAATAGAATTAATTTCCTATATTTTGTTGATATCTGTGCAATGTGATGAACCATTCAAGCATTCAGACCACTTTATTTCATGTTAAAGACACACAGCTCAATGATTATATGAGGCTTGTATACACTATATTGCCAAAAGTATTTGCTCACCCATCCAAATTATTGGAATCAGGTGTTCCAATCACTTCCATGGCCACAGGTGTATAAATTCAAGCACCTAGGCATGCAGACCGTTTTTACAAACATTTGTGAAAGAATGGGTCGCTCTCAGGAGCTCAGTGAATTCCAGCGTGGAACTGTGATAGGATGCCACCTGTGCAACAAATCCAGTCGTGAAATTTCCTCGCTCCTAAATATTCCACAGTCAACTGTCAGCTGTATTATAAGAAAATGGAAGTGTTTGGGAACGACAGCAACTCAGCCACGAAGTGGTAGGCCACGTAAACTGACGGAGCGGGGTCAGCGGATGCTGACGCGCATAGTGCGAAGAGGTCGCCAACTTTCTGCAGAGTCAATCACTACAGACCTCCAAACTTCATGTGGCCTTCAGATTAGCTCAAGAACAGTGCGCAGAGAGCTTCATGGAATGGGTTTCCATGGTCGAGCAGCTGCATCCAAGCCATACATCACCAAGTGCAATGCAAAGCGTCGGATGCGGTGGTGTAAAGCACGCCGCCACTGGACTCTAGAGCAGTGGAGACGCGTTCTCTGGAGTGACGAATCGCGCTTCTCCATCTGGCAATCTGATGGACGGGTCTGGGTTTGGCGGTTGCCAGGAGAACGGTACTTGTCTGACTGCATTGTGCCAAGTGTAAAGTTTGTTTGAGGGGGGATTATGGTGTGGGGTTGTTTTTCAGGAGCTGGGCTTGGCCCCTTAGTTCCAGTGAAAGGAACTCTGAATGCTTCAGCATACCAAGACATTTTGGACAATTCCATGCTCCCAACTTTGTGGGAACAGTTTGGAGCTGGCCCCTTCCTCTTCCAACATGACTGTGCACCAGTGCACAAAGCAAGGTCCATAAAGACATGGATGACAGAGTCTGGTGTGGATGAACTTGACTGGCCTGCACAGAGTCCTGACCTCAACCCGATAGAACACCTTTGGGATGAATTAGAGCGGAGACTGAGAGCCAGGCCTTCTCGTCCAACATCAGTGTGCGACCTCACAAATGCGCTTCTGGAAGAATGGTCAAAAATTCCCATAAACACACTCCTAAACCTTGTGGACAGCCTTCCCAGAAGAGTTGAAGCTGTTCTAGCTGCAAAGGGTGGACCGACGTCATATTGAACCCTATGGATTAGGAACGGGATGTCACTTAAGCTCATATGTGAGTCAAGGCAGGTGAGCAAATACTTTTGGCAATATAGTGTATGGCAGAACAACACACTATGTGAATTATATAGGAAAATCATGGATGGTTGTCATGTCTTTCCCCAAGGGAAATCTAAATGGTCTGGCTTCTGATATTAACTCTCTCTAGGTCAATACAAAAACCACCTCTCTTTTCAGTCACAACTGCAAATGGTTGTAGTATGACTACACCCTTTTAGGGAGTAAAAGGAAAAAAATATTCTTTTAAAGATGTGCAGCGTGTCATTAAGAATGAATTACTACTTGGATTTACAATCTATTTGGTCTATAAAATTCCAATACAGGATTATTTAGCTACTGGTCTATATATCTAGGGCCATTGCCCTGCAGGTGGGAGAACCTCCATCCCTGCCTCAGGATTTTTTTTTGCAGAGTCCAACCAATTTATCTCGAGGACATCCTTGTACTGAGCTCATTTCATCCATCTTCCCATTAACACTGACCAGTTTCCCTTTCATTTCTAATAACTAAGCTCACAAAAACCTGATGCTGCCACCACCATGCCTCACAGTTTGATGTTGCTTTGCATGACGAAAATGTTGAAAGGCTCAAAAGAATGAGTAAATGCTAATGTCTTTTAGATAAGAAAAAAATTAATTATTTATTTATCACAAAAACATGTAATTCAGAAAGGACATACCTTTTTTTATTTGATAAAAATTATTTAAAATGTAAAAAAGTTTATGCATGCAGGTCAACACATAAACAAAATCAGGAGCAAAGAGAGTGCTATTCACTTGAACCTTAAGGCAGGCATGCCCAAAGTCAGTCCTTGAGGCCTGCTATTCTGCAGGTTCTAGAGGTTTTTTTTGCTTCATTATAGCTGATTTTCATCTATAGCTGATCAACAGGACTTTGCTGAACTGCTGACATCAGAATCAGCTGTGCAAAGGCCTCTAAGACCTCTAAAATCTGCAGTACAGAAGCCCTTGAGGACCAACTTTGGGCATGCCAGCCTCAAGGGAATTTAACAAAAAAACAGGATAGAGAACAATAATAAAAAAAAACAACTCTTGTGGTTATAAAACAAACAAAGAAGCCACTCTTGGAATATAAACATATATATATTAACATGACATGTCTTGACATGTGAATATATGCTTCACAAGTGAAGTTCCAAATCAATTCAGACATGATGGGTTAAAGATTTTCTTAACCTGAGTGTGAATGTGTTTATTTGTGCTCACCACATGAACAATAGTGTCATCCCTAACAGCAAGGGGGAGAAAAATGTGACGACCCTGCCAGCTCTGCCCACCGGAGGCTCGGCCTTCTGAGGTGCTTTGGAGGACGGTATGGGAGAGGTCTTCGTCTCTGCAAAAAAATGAGTCAGGAAACAACACATGAGGGTTTCATGAGCAATATTTCATTCCATCATCTGAATACACGGTCATTTGGTTTTGGTATATAACACTTTGCTGAGATTGTTTTTTAGTTGCAAAGAGTACAATAGTGCAGATCCTTTAGAGGGAAAAAACTTTCAGTCTATCGTTCTGATGAATGGAGCGACGAAAATGCTCATCATAGCAAAGAGAAAGGAAAATACAGGGAAGAGCAAAATCGATTCTAATCTACAAGCACAATCAATGGGAGACTTGTCAAGGCAGTTATGAAGTGAACAAGACAAAAAAATAGATCCATTCTGAAGCCACAGAGGAGAAAGAGCAAACAGGGTAGAAGAGCACTAACTGGAAAGGAAAGAAGGGCAAAAGGAAAAAGAATAAAGGAAATCACACTGTGGTCAACTCAAATATGCATAGAGAGAACAGCAAAAATGTGCACACATTTTTAAGATGGCACTTAAATATAAGGTGCAACCAGAAGAATAGCTGCTTTTGCTTCTGAGTGATTGAAACTAATTGAAGAGCTAAATTGACTTTGACAAGGACACACATTTTCACTCACAACAACTTAGAAAGTTTCTTAAAGAGGCTTGCCTTAATCAAGAAGCTAACAGGCGCAATGCAAACAAATGGTTCCATTAAAGATTTCTTCTGTTTATTTTTTATTTTTTGTAAATCTATTAAACAGAAAAAAAATATAAATTTCTTAATATTCCAAAGGAAAATTACATGTTGTTGTAAATCACATAAAGCAGTTTTCTTAAAAGATTTGTGGTAGATGCTTCTGGCTGTGTGCAGGGAGATTCTTCTGTGGCTGCTTTTCTTACGTCTGAGAAAGCCTCTGTTTGAGGACACTTGATCGATGTCAGCCTGATGCAGAGCAACCCAGAGAGGATGCTCAGGTTTGCCTGAAATGTTCTTTATTTTATGCAGAATCCCTCTTTGTAAAATCTCCAGAGAGGTGTTCCTAGAACAGAGGCAGCCTACAAGATCAGCTTTATTATGGTTCTTAAGTTAATTTGGTCTGATGTTGTTACCTCTGCACATGATGGCAGAAGAGATCACACTCTCTACGACAGACTGACAGGACATCTGCAGCAAATACCTTCAAACACTTAAGCTTTTTGAAGAAAAACACTCTGCTATGTCTGTTCTTGTAGACAATTCACATAAGGTTTAGTTGCATCCAGTCTAGTCAGTTGTCCGGGTAAAGTGCAAACGTTTTAAAATATCTTCATCCTCCACATAATCTCCCACAATGGGAATAGTTTGGGAGTTATTCCTGTTTCTCCTGCAATCTACACTCTTCTGCACAGTTTTATTCACATTCAAGGAGTTCCCTTCACCCATTTTTTGTCCATCAGGACCAATGACTACAGAGTCATCTGAGTATTTTTGCAAATGGCAGAACTGTGTCTTGTACTGGAAGAAGAGGAACACAGAGTAAAAGGAATGGGGAGAGTACTTTACCCTGCGGTGCTCCTGTGATGCTGACTATTTGACTAACAAACTGTGGTCTATTTTGTTAGGTCATTTTTGATCCGGGCAATTGTTGAACCTTCCACCTGAGCCTTCTGGAGTTTCAGACAAAGCAAATGAGTCTGAATTGGATTCAATGCCCCAGACAAACCAGGGAACATAGTCCTCACAGTGCTGTCTGTGAATGACAGCGTGTTTGTAAAAGCAGATGTATGATAGCAACTCTAACTCTATGGTAATAAGCAAACTGTAGGGGTCCCAATAGTTGTTTTTGTGCTTACTCAGGTGGGTCAACAGGAGTCTCTCCAAGACCTTCATTATGTGGGAGGGGGATAAATGAACAGTGAATTTGTTGCAGGAAAGTTTTGGGTCAAAGAGCACCAGTTGTCTGTTTGGCTGTGGGTTAGGTGAAGAGAATGCTGACAGAGAAGGACAGCCTTAATTGATAGAAACAGGAATAATTTTATCTATCAGAAAATGCTAACAGAAAATCTCAGGTCACCAATTTTGGACTTTAAGGACATGTGGTTTAGGTTATACAGCAGAACAAGAATGCACCAGCCTGTCTGTTACCCTATAAATAGTCTGATTAAAACGAAATGAAACAAATAATGCTTTTTTTTATATTTACTCAAGGTGTTAGTGTCTTATAACTTATTCTTTTATGATCTTAAACAAACTAATGATTTGTTAGGGAGGAAAAGTTCATGATGGGACTGTAGTTTATGAAAGAGCATGGGAGCAGATTATATATGTCCACTGGCAAACATAAATATATGTTTAGGAATTTCTTCTACAGTTTGGCTTTACATTGCAGAACAATTTAAATATCAAAGTTTAACGATTTATAAAGCTGGGCTATTGCTACAGCTGCAGGCAGCACAGCAGATATTAACTCATCCCGGATGCTTGGCGCTGGATCTGTGAAGAGAGTATATGATTTCCTTTTCCTTGCAATTAATGACTGTTGTGGTGTACTGTGCTGGAAGTCGGGAGATATATTAGAAGGAAGCAGTCAGGTGTGAAATAGCCAAAGAAAGAAGGAACCGGGGTGCGTTTAGCACGTCGAGCGGCACGGCGCAGCGCTTCCTGCCTGCAGCAAAATATTATGTTTAGGAGTGGAGAGGAAAGCAAGAAATTATGCAGAAATAATGTGCCAGTGACAAGGAGAGACATTTATGTGGTGTACAGCCAATGTAACGAGCGAGAAAAGGACAGGTAAACAGAGGAGATGAGACAACTGAGAGGGGGAGGGAAGATTGATAAATGGTGCCGTACAGGATAAAAAAATAAGACAAAGAAGGAGGGAAACACTCAAAGACCTACATTTTATAAGAAATTTAAACTCTTATGGCCTCGCTTGCTTATGTAGATGATGTTGATTCCTTAGGCTTTAAGCTATCTAAATTTGAATGACAGGTAACAGAGAAAATAGTAAAAACAGCTTTTATAATTATCCAGATTTTCTGTTTCAAAAGATTAGATTTACGTCAAACACTTTCCTACCAATCTAGCTACCCGTCAATTTAGTTTCTGTTGTGTGCTGTTAAAAAGCTGTGTTGAGCTTGCTTTAATGAAAGAATATTCAAGTCTTAACAAGGAACTAAGATGTAGGAGTTAAAGGGAAAAAAGTTTTTAGAGCATCATCCTTGGAACAATTTAGCACCGTTTGTTTTGGCTTCAATCACACACTGAAATACAACGCTTCAGGTAATTAATTCAGCTTCAGTCCTTTATGAATCAGTATAAAGCCTATCTAATTAGAAGTAAAGTAAGCATCCTAAAATAAATATAGGATGTATTCATAAGAGTAAAATCCATGAAAAAATAAAATAAAAAATATATATATATATATCTTGAAAGCTATAAATAAAAGAAAAAGGAATTTCCTGTTTGAAAGGTGACCGGAATTCAACGATTTTCAGCTTGACCTGCCTGGCCAATGACTGGCAAATGAGAACCTCAAAAATCTGATTTCTTTTTGCTTCGGTCAGTAAACACACCTTAAAATAGGAGAGCAGCATGCAGACACAGCATGTGGAGTGGGAGGCAAATCTTTACTGATTAAAGAGTTCAGTCACAGGGGAAGGGGTTGTTCTAGGAAAAAAAAGGTTGTGTAGTGCCACTGCTTTTTTGTTCATTTTTTCTTTAAGACTTCCTGCCATATAAACATAAATGATTAGTCTTTAATTTTCACCCAGTGTCTAACACTGTTAATCAAGCAATCAAAAACTTCCTTTTCTGTGTGATAAAAGGAATACAATTATATACTAAACAATTTCTCTTAGTTTCTTTCTATTTACTCTTTAGAAGTGAGAGACCAAAGCTGATGATAACAGAATAATCCTGAAGTTTGTTAATCTCTGTAAATTAGGAATGAAAATATCAAAAGGAACTCATTAGTAATCAATACATTTGGATGAAAAAATGATGATGATGATGATGATAGCAAGGAACCTCAAAAGATCTAAAGTCACTTTGAGATTTACATCAAGGATGACGTTTTTAGGTCATCAATTACCCACAACAACCATTCCATCGACCTGCCGTTGGGATGGTTAGGAGGCATCTTATGGTTTAGCAGATCTGCTGTTCAACCTGGATATGTCTTGGTAAAGGTGCTGGAAGCAAAAAATTGCCTGGTAGCAAATAAAAGATTTCCGCACTCTTGATCTGTGCAAGATTTCTCTTAAATCTGAGCTTTTGCTCAGATATCTTCTAAGGAGAATCTCATAAAATAAAATAGACCTTTTCTGCTCCTTTGCTACAACAAATATGCAAAGTCTAATAAACACTAGCAGCAATGTTTACTTTAGTAAGATTTAGCCTCGTGAGACCATTCTGATCTCGCGAGCTTTCAAGGTTTAAATCGCAGATCAGTCTGGAGACTCTCCATTAAAGAAAATTTGGAGCTGTTCACCAAACGAATATCCAATCAGCGTTGGCTTTGAGGCGGGTTGAGGTGTGACACAACGAGAAGCGCGACCGTTCAGTCTAAAGAACATGGCGGCTTCAGCCAATAACTAGCGTTAGCGTGGCTATCGAGCAAGTTTTATCGGAATTACACAGTATTTCTTCACTGAAAGAAGAGCAAAACACTGCTCTGGAGGCTTTTCTCAGAGGAAAAGATGTTTTTGCTCTTCTCCCCACTGGTTTCGGCAAGAGTTTGATCTATCAATTGGCTCCTCTTCGTCGTCGCTCTGTTAGTACGTCATATGCTTCGTTGATCTGATTGGTTTATTTGGCCCGTCTATCACCAACATAGGCCAATCAGCTAACCAGTATTTTCGCCCCTTCCCAAAATTACTTCAACGGAAGGTTTTCAGATGGATATGCGGAGCAAATCCATCTGGCGGAGTCAGGTTAAGTCAGATTACCTTCAAATCAGAAATCATAAAACAAAATAATTATATGGGAAAAATACATAAATATTGGGATTTTTCTCCGATTAATGAACAGACAATAAATGCTGGATGACCAAGGAGACTGCAA